CAATTTGAAAAAATCTGGTCAGACCACGACTAATATAAAGGCCACATCATTATGATTATTACAATTTTTATGGTTATGTTCGAATGTTTTTGGTTGGATCGTCAGTATCCTACATGTCGTCGGGGCCAGACTAGCAAATTGATGCGCAGAGTTGCCCGAAAAGTGTACATGACATTTGCATGCACGGAAACTATCAGAGTAGCTGAATATGAAGACTAAATTGGTGTTGCGCTTCGTGAGCCAAAATAATCAGGAAATGTCGAAGAACCCATCCTCTTCTTGAGCGATCGGATTTATTTCCAGCATCGAACCGGCGATAGATTAAATTCTACTAAGTAATATTGGCCAAATATTACAATTAAAGTATTCTCATTTGGTATAACTTGTTAACTGATCCCCATTTTATTACACCTACTCATTGCTTCCCAGTAATCTTTGTATATCCATTGTCGCTTTGGTTCCATAATCAGAGAGAAAATAGATATTAGCTAATGGGTGATCTAAAAATGGGGGCCATTAAAAATTTATTTTAAATAAATTATTCACTTAGATTGTGCCAAGAATTCCTTGGCTCATTGTATCCTCTCATCAAATCAACAAAGCATATCATAACAAAATAGTCACCTGTTATCTTGGCCTAAAATTTTGTGCTTTGTCTCGTAAAAAACGGTGTCTTGGTCTGATGGTGTCCGTTACATGACAGACGAAAGGTCGGCCGCTGACGTTTAGGCATAATCCGACGTTACCATTCCACTCCGAGTAGGGTGAGACCTACTCACGAATTCATTCCAACTAATGTATTTTTTGCAATAAAAAGTAATATTTATTAATAAACTATTAAAGGATTCTTTAGGACCCAGCTTGTTCATGCATACTTGTATAATGTGATGCTGTGCTTTCCACGTTGCAACAATCTACTTGATCAGAATTAAGTAGTGTAGTTGATTGTGAGAAAAATAATATTTGTCAACTTCATTAAAAAGTATCTTACTTTGACAATGTAAATGATGTGATTAATAAAAGAGCTGATTCGACGAGTTGTTCCTTGATGCCGTAAGGTATCAAAAGGTGTAATGAAAACTCGGACCATGTGCATACTTCGAGGTCTCGATGTAAGCGCGATCTCGTTAAAAGCCCGATTCTTCCTACGAGTGAACCAGTCTCATTATGGTACCTTGACATAATCTCTCGACAAAAGTCCAACTAAGCTCTGAAACGATTTGGCTCTACGCTTTTTTTGCAAACTTCATTGCCAGGCACCATACTTGCGGGCCTCCTGATGGTCTGCTCTCGAGGCTACTATCGAGCTGGACGGCGAAATGAGGCGGTCTCGCTGATGCGCATCCTCGCCACCGGCGTCTGCCAGTTCGTCACGGTTCCACTTTGTCTGGTCGGCTGGTTCTGGAGCATAGCCTGGGCGATTCGAATGCTACAGGTTGCCGGTAAGCGAGATCGTTCTTCATTGGGTCTTCGACGAGGATTGCTTCAAAGTGGTGAAATCTGATGCGAGGCCAGTTCGGTTTGATGCCGGACGCACTCGAATGAGGCTCCCTTAAAACTCACCGAAACTTACTTTTAAGCCAGGCCTTTTGCCGTCTACTCGAATAACAGACTAAAGGTCAGACAAACTCGTTTATGGAAGAATAAATTAACATATCGTCGGCATTTATGCTCGTTAAAATCAGCTGAATTAATAGGACACAGCATGTCCCAGGTTCGAGTCCCAACTTGGACAGGTGACAAACTTGAAATTTCTCGGTAGAGAAGACTCTAAATTATACTTGGTGACTAAATGGGAAGGCAAAAAGAGACGCTTTGTTAATGATCAACATGGAATTTGACTCGACGATGATAAATTAAAGCACTACTACAATGACTATGAATTGTAACAATTACTATGACGAAAGGGAGGTAGGAGTGATAGTTGAAATTTCTGCAACCAAGTGGTTAGACCTCATCATACCACAAACTTTTACTAAGGCTGCCATCCCAAAAGGTCTGGACTACAGTTGAATCACATTCAGCGTCAGTTCCAACAATGCGAACGATGGAATTCGAATCCCTGCCTTATGCCTCAAATATTAAAATGCAATCATGGGCACCATTGCCACATTTATTATAAAACAACATTCACTTGAGCAGTTTTTTCAACAATACTACCTACAGAAGTGGGTTAACCTCATTGTCGCCATTGGAGTTGTCATGATTCACAGCATCAGACAGTCGATACGTTTTACTAAGTCGCCCTGACAACAAGACCAAGTTGCGACAACGAGTTCAACCCACTTCCATATATCAAAAAAAGACTGCAACCATACCCCAGGCTATAATATTTTGGTCTTCATATCTTCAATACTACCTAAATTCACGAATAGTATGCTTCAAGTCTATCCGGATTTATTGAATATTTACAAATAGCCTCGTAGCCTACTCACTATCTAGCCAAGTAGTAATGCATATTTTCGAGGAAAGATTACAATCTTTCCTCACTTAATTGTGGTCAATTTAACCATACTTGCAACCGATTAAAGTTCTTATCCTAGCCTGGACATATACTCAGTACGCATTTGAGTAGTCTTGTCTAACATAATGTCAAAAGCCGAGCCTGATGTATTTCGAAATTTACTCATCAAATTTGTAATCGAATTAGACTGACTAATGCTATTACTAGCGATCTTTTGGTATGTTTCCAACATATTCAAGGCATAAATTCACATTTTCTATAAAAACCATGTCCATTGCTTCCCAATTGGCAATGTAATGTGTCATGATTGGTAGGAATCTCTGATTCACACCATCGTATCTTACTGCCTGTTTCTCCAGATCAGTTTATTTTTGAACCCTTTTAAAATGGCCGTCATCTCAACTCTCGCTAAAGAAGAATTCTTCATTTTTCATTTCATTCCATGCAACCAAAAGTACTTCCGAACAGGATGGAATGGTGTGTTTCTTTGCACTGAATTAATCGCTTACAACATC